TGGGTACTTCGTTTAGGGTTTATGATTTAGGGGGTTTAGGGTTTAGGGTTTAGGGTTTAGGATTTAGGGGGGTGGGCATGGTTTATAGTAAGGCAGCTTCTTTCTCAGCCCTCACTAGCCTACAACAAAACCATTGTGGGACGAAGTATCCATCGGTTTAGGGTAGCTTGAACTAGATTACCCAAATAGGGAGATCGACGTGTGCGTGTGAATGTATATGTGCATACCCGAAACCCTATTACACCCTGAATATGGATGATTTGAGTTTAGGTCCCGGGTATCTTCATGAAACCTGAGTGCGTTGGAGTTCAGTGTCTGGGGTATCCTAGGCCTTTGCTTAGTTATCTAAGCCCATGGGTCGGTATAGAGCCTAGTGTTCCGAACACCTTCGGCGTCGATCGCGCTGATCAGCCGCGATGTTCGCAAGCCCTGCGGACGCGAGCCTGTTCGAGGTGCACTGGCATGACCAGCCAAGCCTCTCCCACGCATCTTGGCTGCCCTAGAACACAGCTTCCGGGCAACCTACTTAACCCCCACCCCCACCCCTCCCCTCGCCTCTATGCGACCATAAACCCTTAAGGCCAAAAGCCGCTAGAAAGCCGCTCAAGTCTAGGAGGACGGCAGCACGAAACTTAAAGCACGAATTCTGGAGCGCGAACTCTTCAGGGAATTGGGACGTGGGAAGCCCATGCAGACCAGGGACATGTGCCGCAAGCGGCGACGTGCTGGAGATGGGGAGGCCTGAGACGGTGGCCTGCACGGCTGAAGGTTGTAGGGCTTAGGACTTAAAACAAGAACAGGCCCGAAGTCCTAAACCTTCAGCCCTAAGCCCTAAATCCTAAACCCTAAAGCTTCAGAGGGCGTGGGGTTTGGGATTTGGGTTGGGGTCTCAGGTCGAACTGTTTTGGTTTGGGGTTGAAGGGGGGCGGGAGTACGGTGTAGGGTTTAGGGGTCAGGGTTAGGGTTTAGGGTTTAGGGTTTAGGTTTAGGGTTTAGGGTTTAGGGTGTAGGGTGTAGGGTTTAGGATTAGAGCAATCCTAGGCTTCCTTCCCACTGTGGCTCTTTGTGCCTAGTACTTCTTACGCGTGTATGTTCGCTCCTGTATTGGTTTTCACTGTGTCTTGTCCTTTTGCCCGTCTGCGACTAGTGCCTACAAGTTGCGGAAGGCTCTTGGTTTCGCAGAAGGCTTGGAGCTTTTTTGGAGCTGGACTTCCCATCCGGTGTTTTACAAGGAAGCAAGTTTTAGGTAGGTTGAGGTGTTCATGGTTTAGTTTAGGGTTTATTGACTTCTGGTTTGTGGATCTTCAAGGAGACCCTAAACCCTGAACCCTAAACCCTAAACCCCTAAGGGTTTCTTTATTCTGCTCCTAATTTGGCCCATGTGATACTTCCCGGACAGGCACCTGGAAGATTAAGTAGCTGCGCCATTTTTACGCGCGAAGGCCATGTCAGCCCCAACCCTAAACCCCAACTGTAAACCCTGAAGTGGCCCGAAACCCTAAACCCTAAACCCAAAAGAAAACCTAAACCCAAAAGAAAAACCTAAACCCTAAACCCGAAACGTTTCTAGATGGTTTCACGATTTGTGGCTTAGCGTGAGGAGTCGGTGAGTTGCGCCGAAAGCGACGAAGAGGACCGAAGCTTGTTTGCATAAGCTTCCGCGGTCCACAACCTAAACCCTAACCCTAAACCCCAGATCTTAGACCAGGGCATAACCTTAAACACTGTAAGCCCTTGACCCATGAAGCTTTTGGGTGTAATTGAGGACATCAGGGCTGCTTTTAGGGTCTAGGGTTCAGGGTTAGGGTTTAGGATTAGGGTTTAGGGTTTAGGGTTTAGGGCTTAGGGCTTAGGGCCCCTAAACTCTACGCGCGGTGCTTTCCCCCTCACGCGGGCACCGCGCAGGAAGAGGCTCTCTACGAGCCGGTGATTGTGGATGAGGTCCTCCACGAGGACCTTAAGCCTAGACAGAACCCCTCCGCTAAGGGTTTAGGGTTTAGGGTTTAGGGTTTAGGGTTTAGGGTTTAGGGTTTGGTTTTGGGGTTTGGGGTTTGGGGTTTTGGGAGTACCTGAAGCCTAAAGCCTTTAGTCTAGGAAGCAGCGTAGACTCTTGTTCTGATTGGATTAGGGCTTAGGGTTTAGGGTTAACGGTCTAGGGTTTAGGGTAGGGCTTGGGGCTTGGGGCTTAGGGCTTAGGGCTTAGGGCTTAGGGCTTAGGGCTTAGGGCTTAGGGCTCAGGGCTCAGGGCTTAGGGCTTAGGGCTTAGGGCTTAGGGCTTAGGGCTTAGGGCTTAGGGCTTACGGCTTGGTAAGGGTCAGGTGCAGGTGGGCAGCTGCTGTCTGTATAGTATAGGCTTCTCATGCAATAAGGGAAGCTGCCCGGCTGAAACGGTCCTAGATTTTGGGGTTTGGGGGTTTAGGCACCCTTTTTGATTCCCTGGGACCTACATCGTGACTGAGCTCAAGAAGCCGCTTGCGTAATCGAGTGGCTTGTTGCTGACTATCTCCTCTTTCCATGCTGATGGTTCTTCTAAGCTGGTTCTGTCCTCGTTTCGCCGCGCCCAGCGCCCCTTCTCGGCTTGAAGGGGCTGACCCGCCTTAGTGAGGTGAAGCAAAAGGCTCATACTCCAAGCTCTAAACGCTAGGAACCCCCAAGCACTAGCTTCCTTGCACTCTATATGAACCCTACTCTAACGACCCACGACCTAAACCCCCCTAAGCCCTAAACCCTAAACCCTAAACCCCCAAAGCCTCGTCCTAAAGGAGCAGACGGAGTTCCAAGACCTCCTCATCTTCCGCAGCCATCACTACGGCATCTTGGGCATCCCAAAGGTCTAGGGTTTCGGGGTTTAGGGTTTAGGGTTTAGGGCCCCCTCCTTGTAGGCTCAAAAATCGTGCTTCGGGGTTCTGTAGGGTTTAGAGCTTTGGGGTTCAGGGCCTGGGGTTTTTCCGCCGAGGGTTTAGGAGTTTAGGGTTCTATGGGGTTTAGAGGTTTGGGGTTCAGAGCCTGGGGTTTATAGCGCTTGGGGTTCGAGGGATTAGGGTTTAGGGCATTGGCTGAACAGGGTTTTGGGTTTGGGGCGTGCGGCTCAAAGCTTCCAAAAAGAGAGGAACCCTTGAACCCGGCCGCCCCTTAAAATGGATATCAGTATTGTGATTCCTCCGAATGCCCTTCGAGGAGCCCTGGAGCCGTAGGGAAACGAATCCTGGGTGTAGGGTTGGGGGTTTGGGTCATAGGGCCTTTAGATCAAGGATCCGTTTCTGAGTTGGTTTCGACTCAAAGGCTGGGGGCCGTGGCGGGTAACGCGTCTTACCGTAAAACTGAGATGGGAGCTCCCCAAACAGCACTGACTGTTGCACTCAGTGTGGCGTTTGCACCCTAAACCCTAAACACCTGTCAACCCCTAAGCCCGATCACACCGAAACCGTTCAGGGCTTAGGGGCATTTAGGGTTTAGGGGCACTTAGAGGCTAGGGGGTTTAGGGGTTTTTTGGGGGTCTAGGGTTTCGGGGTTTTATAGTGCTTACTTCGGGTGTGTGACAGTCGGCGGCCGTGAGGTCTGTGCTTGTCCTTGGATGGCGTGCTCCAATCTACGGAGTCTGGGCTGGTTTTGTGTCTGACTTTGCGTCCTTCCTTCTTCCAGACGGTTTAGGATTTTAGGGTTTAGGGTTCAGGGTTTAGGGTTCAGGGTTTTGGGTCGGGTTTTGGGGTTTAGGTTGAGTTTCACTAGGTTCTTGACAACCTTGGGTCGCCTTGGGTCTAGGTTTCGGGCAGCGTGCAAGCCCCAGAAGAGCCCTAAACCCTAAATCCTAAACCCTAAACCCTAGGAGAAGGACGAGCACCTCTATCACGAGCACCTCGCTCATGTGCCCCTTCTCCTCTCCGCGTCGCCCGCGCGCGAGACTCAACTAAAGAGTTCTAGGGTTTAGGGTTTAGGGTTAGGGTTTAGGGTTTAGGGTTTAGGGTTTAGGGTTTAGGGTTTAGGGTTTCGGGTTTAGGGTTTAGGGTTTAGGGCTTTCGGTTCAAGGAGTTCCAAACCCTAAGCCCTCTTCAGGGTTCAGGGTTCAGGAGCAAGCCTCTGAAGGCCCAGCCCTAAGCCCGAAACCCTCAAACCTCAAGCTCTGAAACCTAAACCCTAAACCCTGAACCCTGGATAGAATATGATCCCAAAGCCACTGCAACCCCCTGAGCCCTAAACCCTAAACCCTAAACCCTAAACCCTAAACCCTAAACCCTAAACCCTAAACCCTAAACCCTAAACCCTAAACCCGATGTTAGGCATTTAGGTGTTTGGAGGTCCGTGGCTGCAGCTCATGGGTTGAGGGTTCGGGGATTTTAGGGGGTTTAGGGTTTAGGGTTTGGGGTTCCCAAACCTGGAGTTGCCAAATTCTAAGCCCAAAGAAGCCCTAAACTTCGTAAACCCTAAACCCTAAACCCTAAACCCTAAGCTCTGTAGCCCTAAACTGCATGTAAGTTGATCCAGCCCTTCGGCCACCATCTGGCCTTTAAAGGCAGCCCCACGTCCCCATGAGCTCAACTTACACCCTTTTACCCTTCATCAGCCCTTGTGAAGTATGAAGTCCTTCAGCCGTATCAACCCTGCAAACCCGAAGCCCTTAGTGAAGGCCTGAAGCCATCTCACAAACGCTTTAGGATTTAAGGATTCAGGGTTTAGGGTGCTTCTAAGTCCCTTGAGGATAACGGGGGTATGTACGGCATCTTAAAGCGCTAGTGTGGAAATCCACATGTTTTCCCCAGCGTGTGCCAGGTGAATTCTGCGCGACTCTCGAAGGATGTCGGCTGGCAGCTGGGTGTGATGGAAAAGGCCCCGGTTGGTTCTTTGGGGTCGTTCGGTCTTTCTTGTGGTAGCGGAGCTCCGAACAGGGCGGGCCTCCGCGGGTTGCGGTTAGTCGGTGGTAGCCTTTGGGATTGTGAGCTTTGGTTCGTGAGTTTTGGGTTTGTGGTTATAGGGTAAAGGGAGTGGCCTGGTTTCCTTGAGCCATGGACCATCCACATGCTGCTAGCCTGGAGTTCGAGAGGGTCGAGGACGACTCGGGAGACGAGAGCTCCCAGACAACCATTTTGGTGCCTGGCGCAGGAACTGCGCATGCGTGGATCCCCTCAGTGAATGGGTCATTGAGGGCCCGAGTGCATCCGGGAGTTGCGAGGCGGCCGGCTGACCGCCAAGACAACTGGAGCTTGAGGGACGAAGAATCGAGCCAGGCGAGCTGGGAGGATGGCGACGGCTGGTCCTGGGCTTGGAGCAGCTGGGCGTCCTCGACGTGGAGGCCCGATCCGTGGGGCCAGTACTTGGACTCCAACCGGCCAGGCTGGAGAGGGGGTCGTGCCAATTGGGATGAAGAGCCCGCTTCGTCGAGCTCTCCTGAGGGTTCGGCAGTGCCACTGCCTCGGCTGCTGTCGAGGTACGAGAATGCCACTGAGCCGAAGCCGAACGGCCCTCCTCGCGAAGTTTGGACCGAACCTGGGGCGGCGGCAGCGGGGCGGCCAGTTCCTCGCTCGCTTCAGGATGAAATTGCAGTTGCTCGACGCCCTCCGGACGATGGACGTGATCCTAGAGCTCCTGGTGCTCTTGTCGGTGAGTGTCAGGGGCAAGTCACGGAAGAGCACGCCGCAGACTCCGCAACGGAGGGCAAGGGCAAGAGTCAGGGTGCCTCGAAGTCCGGGGAGTACTTAAGGTTGCACAGTTCATTTCCCCCCGAGTTCCGAGCCCGACCTGGTGAATCTTGGAAGGACTATTGGCGTGGCGTTGAGTTCTGGCTTGCTTCAGAAGGGTCGAACCTTCCTCCTGCGGTTCGAGGCTCGCGGTTGATGCAATCGATGAAGGAGCGGGCGGCGAAGATTGTGGCGCACCTCAGTGTCTCAGATGTGGCATGCGAGAATGGGGTGGCCCTCATCCGGAACGAGATGGAGAAATCGCCGATAATCCGGCTCCTGGAGCACAAGGAGGTGGACCGGAAGAGGCAGAAGTTCATGCGCCTGAATCGATACCCTGGGGAGTCGCTGGAGAGCTTCATCAACAGGGCCTCGATCTACAGGCACGAGAACGACTCCTGCCAGAACTACAGGGTTGGGTCCCAGTTCTACCTCGGCCACCTCTTGGATGCGGCTCGATTGACACGGAAGGACCAGGCCTTGGTGAAGACGGCGGCGGGAGGCCTCAAGGACGAGCACCAGGTGGTCAATGCGATGCTGGAGTTGGCAGACCAGCTGGAGGGCCAGGCGGGGTACCCCATCGGGAAGGGTGAGCCAGACCTTCCGGATGAGGACCAGTTCCTCGTTCAGAAGAAAGGAGACTTCGTATCTCGGCGAGAGGACGGCCATGCAGATCGTCGACGGGAAGGAGATCGGGATCGTAGACGGCACATTGGGGGACGAGGAAAGGACGGCCGCTTCAAGCGCTACCAGAAGTGGAAGCAGGTTTTCCACGCGATCCTGGAAGACGATAGTGATGAACGAGACGGATCGTGGTCGGACAAGGCATCCTCCCGGGGCGACCCCAGTGCCTCGGAGACTTCTGGAGAAGAAGCGACGTCATCGTCTCCGACCCCTCCGGAGATCCCCGACGACCAGTTGCCAGCGGAGGTGTACGCCCAGGAGTACAAGGCCAAGAAACGAGTCAATGAGCTGAAGCAGATGCGGCAGTTCTTTCAGAAGGGCTCGAACCCGGAGAAGACGAAGGCTTGGGTGAAGGAGCAGCAGAAGAAGGAGCCATGTTTTCTTTGCGGAAAGCTAGGACATTGGAGCCAAGAGTGTCCGATGCGGAAGCAAGGGACGAAGCCCCACCACTCCGTTCATGTCACATCGGCTGGCACAAGTTCAGACCCGGCGCAGTGGGATCTCCTCCAGTCCATCGCGGGATATACGGCCGAAGCTGAGGGACATGGTTCGGGGCTGCATGGGTGTTTGGTTGCTTCCGCTACGTACCAGAGCTCCCTCATAGACTATGAAGCCTTTTGGTCTCTTCGTGAACTTCATAGTAGCTTGATCCTGGACATTGGCTGTATGAAGTCGGTTGCGGGTACTAAATGGGTCAACCAACACATTCAGCGTCTCAAGAGCTTGGGTCGATGGATGAAGGCGGTTCCAGAGAGAGAGAGCTTTCGCTTTGGAGATGGACATGAGGTGTGGAGTGAGTTTTCCTTCATCTTTGAGGCCACTTTGCTTGGGGTGCGGGTGGTGCTTCGCTTGAGTGTGGTTCCTGGGGACTGTCCTCCTTTGCTTTCTAAGCCGGCATGTACACAGTTGGGCATTGTCATAGACACGGAGAACCACACAGTTTCGTCGCGAAAGCTCCGGGTGCGTAGGTATGGGATGAGTCAAACCTTTGGCCGTCACTATGCCCTGCCCATTGCTGAGTTCGAAGACCACATGTCCCCCATCGAGGACCCCGCTTGACATAGAGCCTGAATCGCCTCCTGAAGAGCTTCCTTGGAGAACTTGGATCCGGAGAGATAGGCAAATGGAGTGCACAGTGGGCCCGGGCCGGAATGGACCTCCTTGGCATTGCGTGTTTCGCAGAGTAGTGTACGTGGCGGGAACGAATGAGATGTTGCTGAACGAACCCGTCACTCCCCAGACAAGAATCCGCACTCCTCTTCCTAGGCGCTGTGACACCCGCACGATCCTCTTCTTCCGGCTGCCGGGCTCTGCAGGGAATCAAGGTGACAATTCGATGAGTGCCCATCCGGGCACACATTCCTCCCCGTCCTCCAGTCGCCATGGTGCGTGGGAAGCGCGAGAATGTGATGACGACGCCCCAGGGCGAGATCCCCGCTCACCACCGGTTGGACGTGGAGGACTCCGATCAGGACTACGAGAAGGCGCTCCTTGGGGATTGGAACCGAGTGGACACCCCCGGCGAATCGAGGTCGCCCTCACGGCCCCCCAGCAAGCCGAAGTTGAGACCTGCGGCGAGGAAGGCGAGCCTGGGCGCACGGTTGAAGGCGGGGCTCGCCAGGACTGTTCGCTCCAAATCCGCAGACAAGACTCGAGAGCGCTCAGCCGAGAAGAGTCCCAGCCCTCGAGCTCATCGGCACCGCTCCCCCGAGGCCTACAGCGTGGCGACCGATCACAAGGAGAAGGACAAGCAGACTGGGGCATTGCTGAAGGGGCAGGCGGCCGGGCCCAAGGAGAAGGACAAGCGGACTTTGGCATCGCTCAAGGAGCAGGCTGCCGAGCTCGAGGAGATCTTGCTGCACTACCTCGACCCCTCGAGTTTGCCGACAGAAGGTTCGAAAGCAACGAAGGCGTACTGGGTGAGCCGGATCCAGATGTTGGAGGAGGAGTTGGTCACAGGCCATGGAGGACGAGGCAGTGGAGCTGGCCAAGCCGAGTTTGAGTGGAGAGGACGCCTCAGTCCCCTCGCTGGACAGTCCGCTTCCGAGGACCAGGGGAAGGGCCAGCTCGACGACGAGTTCTACGACGCCTACAGCCACAGCGAGAGCGAAGCCCAAAGGAGCACCCAAGAAGCAGCATTCTCTGACGGACCACAGCGCTCCCTTCCCCACAATGTCCAGCAAGTTTTCCGACGACCTCCCGATCAACATCATGATCAGCTTGCAGTCCCAGCTCTTCACGTTCAAATGGAAAACCCTGGTCTGGATGCTTCGAGTCCGGGCCGCCGTGAGGGCGGAGATGGGACATCGGGCTCAGTGGAAAAGGAACCCGAGATGGTTGATGCTGTTGCTGGGAAAGCAGATGGGGAGCTTATGGGGGCACATAGGCGCGGCTCGTCAGCTGTGTCACGACCCGAGACTTTCCGGCCTGATGAAGGGGAACCCCTTGGAGACGAGCAGCGCCAGGGCTGCTGTGGCCGACCGTCGCGAGGATTGACTCAGAAGCTGAAGAGGGGCGTGGCGACAGGAGTTCGGACTTTGGGACTCCTGACGATGGTGGCATCCTGGCAGATGAGCTGGAATGTGCTGGAGATCTTCCCGACAGGCAGGACCTGGGAGGACACGCCGGCGCAACGGGTGTCCAATGGCCCTTTGTGTACTTCAAGAAGGCCCTTGTCCCCTAAGGAGAGCCAGAAGATCATCGAGGAGGTGGTGAAGATCAAGCCCGATGTGCTGATCCTCGCTCCTCCAGTGGGCCCTCGGTCGTCCTGGCCCCGAGGTTCTAGCAAAGATCTGATGAGACAAAAGGCTTGCTACTGGCCGATGTGGCACATGATCTTCGAGGTCTGGAAGTATCAGCAAGCTCACCGAAGATTGGTCATGATCCAATTCCCAGCAAAAGCAACGGTGCCGGGACCTGATGAGATGAGAGAAATGCAAAGACTATATCGACGCCTATGCCCTGGAAATCTTCCGAAGGAATGGCGAGACGATCAGCACCAAGGACCACCATCGGAGGGGAGAGACATAGGGTTCAACATAGATAGCCCTGGAGATCTTCCGGAGGAATGGCAAGACGATCAGCACCTGGGGACCTCTTTATGGGTTAACGATTCATCGCCTGATCCTCTATATCAAGCCCGTGTCGACCTTTGCGCTTTCGGCCTTTGTGACAGTGACGGACGTCCTTGCAAGAGAGGGCTTTGCTACGCCGTGAATGATCCGTTTTGGTGTGGTGCCCTAGAGAGTGGAAGCCGATGTCCCCATGGAGACGGAGGGCATGTAGCCATCGGAGGCAAGAAAGGTGAGGCGGGTGGCGAAAAGGACTCGCAGGTGGCAGAGATGCATCGTTGGCCGAGCCAGTGGACGCTTCGGGTGCTGTCCTCGGCCCAGAAAACTTTGAACTCGCGTTCAGGAGGTTCTCATCACTTGACGCTGCACCAAGAATGTCTGACGCCAGGCGAATGGGAAGCGGTCCCTGTGGAGATTGAGATGTCCCCTGAGGCTCAGTTGAGACAACGCTTGGGTGAGGTTTCCGGTCAGCAGTTCGACTACATCTACTTCGAAGGAGGCAGTGGGGCGTTGCCAAGACAGCTGCGGAGCACCTTGGCGAAACTACATGTCACGCTGGGCCACATCTCAGGCGAGAAGCTGAAGCGCATGCTCCATTTGAATGGGGCCAAGGACCACATCCTCAAGGCGGTCAGTGATATGAGATGCCAGGTTTGCCAAGCCGTGACAGCGCCCACACCGGCGCCCAAGGCGGCCTTTGAAAGGCCCCAAAGATTCAACGAAAGGGTGGTCACGGACGTCTTCTTTGTCTGGGACAGCAGAAAGGAGAAGTTCGCGGTGGTGCACGCGGTGGATGCCTTCTCGCTGTACCAGGTCGCCACCTTACTCGTACAACCACAAGCTCAGATGGTGGCGAGCTTCCTTCGGAATAGTTGGATTGGTGTTTTTGGTCCTCCGGAAGTGCTGATGAGCGATGCGGGCACAGAGTATGCGGCGGAAACGGAGGAGTTGCTGAGATCATATGATGTGCATCATGAGATGGTTCCTCCGTCGGCGAAGTGGAGAATGGGATTGGCAGAAAGACATGGGGCGGTGCTGAAACTCCTGGTGATGAAGACGGTGCATGCTACGACCGCCAAGGGCTACCATGAAACCAAAGAGTGCCTGATCGCTGCGGTGGCCGCTCGCAACCGTCAAACGCGGGTGGGAGGTTTCAGCCCCGTGCAGATAGTCTTGGGCAAGGACCTGGCGATCCCTTCCTCCATCCTGGACCAGATTGGCCGAGGGCACTTCAAGTATGTGCTGAACCAGGATTTGGCCTTTCACGAAGCCCGACATCGGAATGAGCAAATCCGCTTTGCGGCCGAGCAAGCCTTCATCTGGGCGGACAGCCATGAGACTTTGAGAAAAGCCCTGAATGCCAAGACCCGACACCCGAGACACGAGATGCTGTTTGAGGGAGCCATGATCTACTTCTATGATCCCCCGAATTCGCGGAAAGGACTTCCTCGCCGGCTACAAGATCAGGTGTCGTGGATGGGGCCCGGAGTGGTGGCGGCCCTGGAACGTCGTGATGGGGCGATCAAGAGGGTGTGGGTGCGATACCGAAACAAGCTGAAGGGACTACCGCTGGAGTATGTGCGTCTTGCCGCCCTGGAGGAGGTGGAAGCTACCAAGGTCTGCCAAGAGGCCTTGAAGGAGGTGGAAAAGGAGCTGGAGGGTGGCCGCCCCGAGATCGAGAACATGGAGGAGCCGGAGATCGCAGAACCCCGGGACCGGCTGATGGAATTCAGTGACGACGAGGAGCCCCCACAACCTCAAGTTTCAGCCTTGGATGATGTCCCCATGCAGTTCCATCGGGATACGAGGGGCCAACATCCCGGTCTGCCTGAAGCAGGACGCCAACCCAAGAAGGTGCGTTTTGACGAAGCCAAGAAAAACACTGAAGAACACTTAAGCAAGATGAAGGCGGTCCTCCGGAAGTATGAGCCACGTGGGAGACTGGAGGAGAATCTGAACTACCAGGAGGGAGGGGCCTCATCTTCCTCAGCACAGGGTCCCGCTCCCTCTCCCCCGGCCCAGGCAAGCCATCGCGGACATGGAGTGTTCCACATGGTTCGTAGGTGGCACTTGGAAGAGGCCACCCGGAGCCAACGAAAGATGATCGTCGCAGCCCGAAGACAAGGGTGGGATGTCCATGGTCTGGAGGTGGTCCCATCACGGAGGAGCTGCAGGACGAAGTGAGACGAGCCTCTACTAACATGAAAGTGGACGCTAGCCCCGTCATGGAAATCCACATGTTTTCCCCAGCGTGTGCCAGGTGAATTCTGCGCGACTCTCGAAGGATGTCGGCTGGCAGCTGGGTGTGATGGAAAAGGCCCCGGTTGGTTCTTTGGGGTCGTTCGGTCTTTCTTGTGCTAGGCTCCCGAAATTTTTTACCGGGTAGGCGCTTGGGATATTTCATATTTTCCCTTGTTGGGTTTGAGAGAAGCAAAGTGTCTAAAAGGATGGTTTCAAAGGTCCAACACGTAACGCTGAGTGGAATTGGGTTTTCTTGGCCGGGGCCCTAAACCCTAAACCCTAAACCGAGGTCGCCATCTGCGGCGGTGGCAACGGCGGGGCTGCGCGCGAGATCATCCGGCATGGCGCCGGGGTCCCCGTGTCGGGGTTTCAGGGTTTAGGGTTTAGGGTTGAGGGTTTAGGGCTCTAAACCCTAAACCCTAAAGCACATAGTGGTTAGGGCAAAAGGACGAATAGTAGTCTAGGGTTAGGTTCAAGAAGGCCCAAATGTTCGTTTTCTCCCAAGTCTGGCATGATTAATGAAGTTGCACAGTCATACTTGTCGACTAGCGAGACTGATTCTCACGCTCCTCCTTGTTGTTGTGGTGGTGCTGATGAGAAAGATTGTGCCGCAGGTCATGACTGTAGCAGAAGCAGTAGCAGAAGCATGAGCAGTAGCAGTAGCAGTAGCAGCAAGAGCAACCCTAAACCCCCTAAACCCTAACCCTAACCCTAAACTCAACCCAAAGAATAAAGGAAACAGTACTC